AAATAAATAACAACTAAAAGTTCAGAAATTGAACTGAGGTGACTTTTACTTGATGAAAATCCATTTGTCAAAATAAATAAGAACTAAAAGTTCAGATTTTCACGAAATTATATATTATGACATGACAATTGTTTTGACAACACCGTGTCTTTATCAAATGTAACAATAACAAGCTACCTGCTACTATAGATACCGAAAAATAATTAATGTCGTGAGAATTTATAAGGTTGTTCGGAAAGTCATTTCGTTTTTTCCCGTCAGAGGATTTAATTACGTTTTTTCGAAACCAACTTCACACTTAAGCCGCATAACCATTATATGTCTTGAGTGCTGATATTGCAAGGCTTGTGTGTGAAAAAGTTCTATTAATTCTAAGCAGTAGTTTTTGGTTGGTGCCCTTTTAAATATGGAGAGCAATAAGCAGCATTTTCGTCATATTTTACTTTTTTACTTCAGATGTGTATGGAGAAGGCGTGTTAACAGAACGCCAGTGCCAGAACTGGTTTGCAAAATTTCGATCCGGCAATTTTGATGTCGAAGATGCACCACGGTCTGGAAGGCCGGTCGAAGCTGACAAAGATGCGATAAAGGCATTAGTTGATGCAAATCGGCGAATAACCACACGAGAGATCGATGAGAGATTAAATTTGTCGAATTCGACTGTTTATGGCAATTTGAAAGGCATGGGCTTAACCTCGTAGCTCGATGTGTAGGTGCCCCATGTCCTTACTCAGCGAAATTTGTGTCGTCGCGTTGACGTGTGTGATTCGCTCCTCAAACGTCAAGAAAATGATCCATTTTTGAAGCGGATTATTACTGGAGACGAAAAATGGGTTGTATACAACAATGTTAAACGCAAGAGGTCATGAAGCAGAAAAGATGAACCGGCTCAAAGCGTGTCAAAAGCCAACATTCACCAAAAAAAGGTGATGCTCTCCGTTTGGTGGGATGTCAAAGGAATCGTTTTTTTTTGAGCTTTTGCCGGACAATACAACGATTAATTCAGAAGTCTATTGTCATCAACTGGACAAATTGAATGATTCACTTAAAGAGAAGAGGCCCGAATTAATCAACAGGAAGAAACTTTGGTCACTCGCCAAAAACTTTTACAGCTTGAATGGGACGTACTGCAACATCCACCATATTCTCCAGATCTGGCGCCTTCCGAATACTATTTGTTCCGGTCCCTGCAAAATTTTTTGGATGGCAAAACCTTTACCTCAAATGAAGATGTCAAAAACCACCTGAACCAGTTTTTTGCCAGCAAGGACCAAAACTTTTATGAGAGGGGAATTATGTTACTGCCAGAAAGATGGCAAAAGGTGTTGGACCAGAATGGCCAATATATAATTTAATAAAATATTTATTCATTATACGAAAACTGTCTTTCATGTTCCCCAAAAAAAACGAAATGACTTTCCGAACAACCCAATAATTTCAATAAAGCAGAGGTATTTCAATCTAATTGATCTTTAAGCAATACATTTGAATGTCTCATTTTGTTAATCTCCATGGCTTCCAATAAATTTAATTTTCTGCTTTTTGTGGCCGTATGTAAAATATCAAAATTGTCGTCAAAAATGTGTTTTTTTGTGTTTAAGTGTGTAGCATAATTAGAATCTAGACTATTGTTCTTAAACGCTCTTTTATGTTCGTTAATTGAAGGATCTACTTGTTTGTTCAATATAAATTTTAGGACAAGATCCGCATCTCGACCTGTAGACACCTGATTTTTGAGATTTTGGACATTTCGTTTTATTGTTTTTTAAAAATTTTCCTATTGTGTTGTTAGTTTTGATAAATGTTTTGAAAATTTTTCACAATAGAGTTTTCTGTTGTCAGAATTTGTTTTTTATTTATAATTTTATCTATAATGGACGGATTGTAGCCGTTGTTCAGTGCAATTTGTTTAATGATATTAAGTTCTTTGTTGTAATTTTCTGATGCGAGAGGCATATTAAGAAGTCTGTGTATAAAAGAGTGAAATGCAGCCATCTTGTGTTCATAAAGGTGATTTGAGCTGTTATGTATGACTGTGTCCGTGTGTGAAGGTCTATGATAAATGGAAAATCTAATTTGTTTTGCGTTTTCTTAATAGTTCAGCCTAAAAAATTAATAGAGTTATCCTGTTCAATCTCGATAGTGAATTTTATACGATTATATAATGAGTTAATGTAATTTAAAAAAGAATTCAATTGCTTGTCTATTTCAACAAAGCAAGCAAAGACATCATCCACGTATCTATACCACCATAGAAAACTTTTACTTAAAGGATGTTCTAGTATGATATTTTCCAAATTATCCATAAAAATCTCGGCTAACAAAGGACTAAGTGGGTTTCTCATAATCAAACCTTCCTTAGAGATGTAAATCTGTCCATTAAATTCAAAATAATCTTGGTCAAAAGATACTACTAAGCAATCTAATAAATCTTGTTTCAACCTGTTTCCAAGTTAGGGTGAAATCTACTAAATCCATCACATCCGTAGGTGGAATACTGGGAAATAGGTTTTGTACATCAAAAGACAATAGTGTTGCGTTAGAAAGGATTTTGATATCTTTAATTTTCTGGATTAATTCACTCACTCGTTTATTAAACACTCGCTCCGCTCGTGTCCAATGCCGTTTTTTTAAAATTTAGTTAAGAACGATTATGGGGATGTAACCCTCCACTCATGCAAAAAAGCAGGAAGTGTGTGTTTTTACAATAATAATACTTTATACAATATTTTATTGTTCTATTCTATTCTCCTTTTTAAGTTTCCGTTAGTTGTGGTTAGTTTTTAGTTAGTATAGTCCAGCGGGTAATTTGTCGTTATTCGGTATACCGAGCGAAGAACTTTCACCAGGTGCGCTCCAACGATTTGCGGGAAAACCTAATGCCATTCAATACCACTTTATAAACGGGAGCAAAGCTGAAAAGTCGTTAACTCCCGGGTAGTGTCGGAGCATGCAAACAATGCGACGGGATTAATACTATTGTGCTTTAAACTTGGCGGATTTAATCGTTTGCCGTATCGTTTAATGGCGACGCTCTCTGAGCTTCGAGCTTATTTAATTGCCCCCGCAAACAGCGCAGGCTCGTTCTATTTTTCTTTTGGTTAGATAGCATGTTGTCGCGAACAACAAAATCAAACCCTTAAAAATAATCTGTTTTAGTTATTGGGGTTGATGATATTTCCACGCTATTAGTTTTGGTACGTCCAAATAGAGAGAACAGAAGATAGAGGGTCACCAAAGACCGTACAGAAAAAAAAGAAACTGGATTAAATTAGGATGAAAAGACTTCCATTAGAAGAATATTGCGCCCCCTTTACTTTAAAAAATACCTACCTTGTACAAAATAACGTCTGAAATGAAAAAGGATGATGTCAATCCACTAATGGACATGATACGACCAAAAATATAGTGTATAGTTTTATAGTACCGCACACTTTCGCAGGACCGTGGTAAAACCCATCCCAACAGATGTTTATTCTGCATTAAGTAGATCTTGCCTGAGACGCACCGCAACGAATATTTTTTATATATATTATAATATTATATTATATATATTATATTATTATTAATTATTATTAATTAATTAATTATTAAGAATTATTATTATTAATTATTCAATGTCGATGTCAAAATAACCACAAAAAAAAAAATAAAAAAAAGCACTTCGCGCTATTTTATTGCTCCCAATTTAAAGAGTTTAAATGCGGGTCCAGACTTCAACTTCTCTCCCAAGTCTGAAGTCGGTAGCTGCAAATTTGAAATAATTATTATGTTTTTTAATATTGCACGGAATATCGCGAACACCCTGTACAATACTTAAAAACCGTAAATAAAAAAGTTTAAGCTGTCTATATGGGCTATATCGTCATGTAAAAGAAACTAACATTTAAAACACAGATTTGAAATTATTGCCAATTTTCAATAATAGGGGGACCCATTTTTCAGTTTTTTTAATTTGCCCTGTATATTTTTAAAAAATTGTCAAGGATAAAAGTTTATGGAGTCGTTTCCTCTGCGTCTTCTGGTTCAAGAATTTTTTCGGTGTTGCAAACGGTTTTTGAAAAATGGTCTTTTTTGTAGACCCTTGCACACGCGATTTTTATTTTTTTTTAAATAATTCTCGACCACCCAGCCCCCCATTTTTAATAGGTTCCGTCACGGGGTAAGGCTGCACTTATGTGCCAAATATGAAGTCGATTGCTTCAAATTTCGGACACTTATCGTGTTTCATAGCAAGGTCCAAAAAACCGTCGAAAATCGCGAAAAAAAGGTGGATACCGGCGTCGGCTCAGCAGGGCCATTTCTTATAAGCTTATGTGCCTCGTGGAGGCAAATTTCTATTTTGTATCTCCAACGGTTCGAAAGTTATGCAGAAAAAACCAAAAGACGATAACGTAGAACGGACAGACAAAAAAAATTTTTTTTTCCGACGGTGATCATTTCTGGACCAACGGCGATTCCGTAGGACTTACCGTTACCGAGATATAAAATTTTTATACGAGCGCAGATACTTTCGAAAATTCGATTTCATCGATTTTCGAAAGTAACAAGTTTCGTCCCTCCTACGCACTCCGGGTATACACAAAGTTAATATCACTAATTGCAGTAAATGTGTTTTATCATTAAGTCTTTACTTCATCAAAAGTTAACATTCTTGAATTTATGGGCCTATGTTAACAGTCCATTGAATTTTCACAGAAACACATTTTTCATTATACTAGCGCGTTGGTTACAAAATTGGCGACATCTGTCAAATAATGCCTCAATGCCTACATTTGTGTCAAAAATCGCAGATACCCTAGACGTTTGTTTATTATTGTTTCCATGGTAACTAAGCGAGCGGACAAGTAAAAAAAAGGCTGCAACTTCGCGCTTTCTTGTGCGCAAATTTGTATTTCTCACTCGTTCTAGAATGGTTTTTTATGATGGAATATTTTTGTTGGGTGTTAGTTTTGAAAGGGACATTTGCAAATTTTGTTTAACAAACCATCCGGACTCACCGGAATTCGACGAACCCCTGGTGGAGCAGCAGCGCCATGAAATCGCCGGCCATGTCGTCCCTCTCCCCCGTAAGGAAGAAAATGCCGTCGTAAGCTTCAGGTCGCAATTCCAGACTCAGCTGGACGTGCTTGTAGGCGCCCCTAAGGGCCGAAAACGCTAACCAACTGTATCCCGTGAATCTGGGGGACTGTATTTCCATTACTGAAACCAAAAGACTCCGTCAACGCCATCGCCTAAAATTTTATGAGTCAAACAGAATTGCCGCATTTTCCTCTCAGTCTTTGTGACGTCAAAAAATAAGCAAAAGCCGCGTAGCACAAGACGAAAGTGGTTAAAAACACTAAAAATTAAGGTAAGCGTCCATTTGTTGCCTTACGATGTCACATTACACAAAGCCATTACGAAAAGAACTATTTGTTTTTGAAAATATTATTTTATTAAGTCTAATGTACAGTGTGTCGCACTTTTTTAATTTTAAAATTTTTGTTTGTGGTTCTATTTTGATATATTTTTGAATTAATTAACAAAAGACATAGAAGAAGTACTATTAAAGATTCAACGATACCAATGTTTCAATACAGAGTATTTGAAATATCGTTTGCGCCCCATTTGATTTTGATTGATTTGTTGATTGATTTTTGATTATGTTCAAAAATGTGTGTACTACCTGGAATCTGAAAAATAAAAATTAAAGCTCATCCACCGAACCTCAATAACGAACCGATCGACAACCAATAATAAAAACACCGTGACTTTTCTAAATGAAAATTAAGAAAAGCGTCTGAACGTCACACACTCGATGGCGATCGCTAACCAACAATTTATTTGAGGCCTTATTTATCGGGCGGGTGACAGCGATCGATATTACAACGCCTATCGAATTCCTGATTTGATTGCTCAAGTCCGGACCCGGAAAAAAAGGTTTCGCTCTATATGCCGCTACTCGAAAAAGGTGTTTTCCACCCCCACGGGGGTGATTCTTTTTTTGCCTCCGAAACAATCGACAGAAGTGGGCGTGGCCTTGATTTTGGGTTTGGTTTTTCAACAGTATTCTTCGATTTGTCTTTAATTAGGATGGAATCTTTTTCTCTCTCTTTCTCTCTCTCTCTCTCTCCCTCTCTCCCTCTCTCCAGTTGTTGCTCGACTCCGGGCGACGTGACTTATTCATGGTGCAAACCTTCTCCATGCCTCTTGATCCTCTACGGTTCTCATAACTTCCGCTACTGACATGTTTGTAAGGTCCTTGACCTGGTCTATAAATCTACTGGTGATCTGCCTCGCCCTCCACCTTCCATCACAATGTTCTCCATACCATCCTTCCGTATCACGTGACCAAAGTATTTCAGTATACGCTTCTGGATTGTTGGAAGCAGCATTTCATGATTCAGAACATCCAATTCATGAGTATGCGTTCAACGACCCCATAAGTTGCGATATTAGCGCTTTGAGCAGTCTCATCTTGGTCATTTTCTGAATGTCGTGGTCTTTCCAGATTTTAGCCAGTCTACCCAAAGCTTCTTTTGCCTTTCCAATCCTTCTCTTGATTTCTGGCTCGGAGCCTTATTGGCTAGTTAGTTTTATCTCAAGACAGATGACAGTGTCCCTGGTTTCTATATCATGAATGTGTCGAAGTGGTATTGGGATTGTTTGAGGCCTATCCACAATTAGCAGACAGCATTTGGACCTATTCAGACGTAGGCCTGATTCCAAACTAGCAGCTTTCACACGTTGAAGGGGTTCAAACATTTCTGGCATGACTGACCAGAGCTATGGTTCTTTAATTACCGCATTCGTTTTTAGCACCTTTTGTATGCAGAGGGATGTAGATTGATTCAGTCCGCCTTTCGGGCCATTCACTATTTTCCTTTCTTACCGCTGTTCTCTAGCATTTCAGAGACGATGTTGTCTGATCCAGAAGATTCGTGACTGTTAAATTTGCGCAAAGTGACTTCTACGTCGAATTTCAGTATAGGTTATTCGCATTCCTGGATAAGTTCTAGATCCTACTAGATGCCGTTTACCACACTTGTTGCATAATATACTATTAAGAGAAAGAATGATATACGGAATACTGCAAATTAAATCAAAAGGTACATACCACTAGGTAGCATCCTCTAGCATGATATCATCTGCATAAAAATTTGGCGGAAAGAAAATGACATAGATCGTTAATGTACCGTGCGTTCAATTTATCTTGATACCATTTTAATTGACTAAAACTTTTTTGTTTTTAGAGATATCACGGTAAACAAAAAAAAAACATAATGTAGGGTTAGTAGCCAAGTTTTTTTCCAAAACACTATCAATTTTCTGACATACAAGCCTATACCATATTTTTCAAATGAAACACCCTGTATTTTATAATTATTTAATAAAATATTCCGATTACAATGATGTAGCGCACTTTATATTTTAGTAGTCCACTCGTTTTTGACAAATCGGCCAAAATTGGAAATTTTAAAATAATTTCAAAGAGTGCCCTGACTGACAAATAAAAATATGTTTATATTTGACATATTAGTATACAACGTTGATGGTTGAATTATTGTCCAAGTCGTTATTGTTAAAATGGGTTTTTGCGAATTTAGCATGCGTGAAAGGAGTGATATGCTTGAAGGACACTTTCTGAATAATAAAAGTGCAACGGCAGCTCATCGTCAGTATATTAGACTTTATCCAGAGCGCTGAGCTCCTTCAAAAGGCTTTAAGGCTTTCAAAGAGGTTTGCAGAAAATAGTAACGTATTAAATGCTCATAAAGTATGCGGGAATCGTAATGTTTTAAATGAAGAAAATAAGGCAAACATATTAAGATTCTATGAAACACATCCAGTTTCCTCTATTACTAGAGTATATGAAAGACATTCATTTCTAGGGGATTCAGTTTGGAAAGAATATAAATATAATGCATTTCAATTTCGTAAAACTCAAAAACATATTCAGTTTGGTTTGGATTTTTTAAATTGACATAATCAGAATAATTATTTGAAAAACGTTTTATGGACTAATGAAAGTTCGTTCACTACAAGAGAGGGTTGTAATAGACAAAATACGCGATATTGGGCTTTAAATAATCCTAGACAAATACAAGAAATAAAAACCCAGGGGTATTGATGTATTGATGTTTATTGATCAAAAGTGGACTGAGAACATTATTTGCCACTCTTAGAGCACCAAATAGAACAATGTATAGAAGATTTACCCCTAAATATACCAGCGCTGATTATATGGCAGCAAGACGGTGCCCCTCCTCACAAAGTTGTGTAAGTTAAAAACTTTCTTGACATGGAATATCCCAGGAGTTCGATAGATAACGGCGGAACTATGGATTGGCCAGCCAACAGCCCCAACTTAACTTTAATGGATTTTTTCTTTTGGGGACACATGAAAACTCACGTGCACAGAACTCCTTGTAATAATGTCGTGGAACTTTGGCAGAGGATTCCAGAGGCAATCAATCAGTTAAGGGACAATCCGGAAACGTTACTAAATACCGGTCAAATGCAGCAGTATTTAGAATAGTTAAAAAAAAAATTACCTTAGTGTGTCTTGTCATTTTTAGAGTTTTTGTTCTACATTAATTTGTAAATAATTATTGTGGTTGCAGTTGGTCACGGCACTATATAAAAATGTTCTATTTTTGCCGATTTGTCAAAAACGTCTGCTACATCATTGTAATTCATTTAAAAAAAATGTGATGCAGGCTTATATGTCAGAAAATTTGATAGTGTTGACTACTAACCCTGCTTTTTGTTTTTTTGTTTACGTTGATATCTCTAAAAACAAACAAGTTACAGCCAATTAAAATGCTATCAAGATAAATTGAACCGACAGTACATCGTAAAAAGCAGCGGGCCCAGAACAGAACCTTGTGGCACGCCTATCTACGTTTCTGAATTCTGTAATTTCATTATTGAGCCCAAAATGCGATTTCCAGGTTATTTTCCAAACCCGCTTTTATCTATATTTTGCCCCCTGGAGGGGTTAGGAAACTTTCCTGATCCCCACCTTCGTTCCAAATTTCAGTCAGATAGATTAATATCGTCCGCGATCCAAAATTTTTATGAGTGGTCGTTATTTTTCTCCTTCGAGAACGTTATAATTTTTATTGGAGAAGGACTTCAATGAGGTCTATCCCTGTCCCTGCCATCCCTCTCCATTTAAATATATTTTCCTAGGTGGCAGATAGTATTTAATAAGATCTAATGGAAGTCTTGGTACACCATATTTATTTAACTTTTTCACTATTCGATGCTCCTCTATAAAGTAGTTAACAATAACAACACTAAATACTTAGCTTAGATAATTTTAGAATCCCTCAATTTTCAACCCTTAAATTTATCTATTTTTGGATCATTGATAATGTTGTGATTACGGTTTCATGTTGTGAAGATATACACAACTTACTTTACTCTACACGTTTAAAGCAATGGATTGAAATTAATAGGCACATTTTGTTCTGTAACCCGAGAGATGAGAATGACTCATTTAATCGATACGTCAACGTCGCTCCCCTATACTAACCAAAACCGGACCACCCGCTTTGGTTCTCTGCCGTGAAGAATTTTCTTTGATGCTCTCCAGTCGGTGGAAAAATATGTTCGAAGGGTTGAAACGCTAACCCTGTGAATGCACTTTTTGTTATGTTTCGTGTCATTTCCAGGGGTCGTCCCGCCTACACTGTCGTAAGCTCTAATGCGACAGGATGTTATATCGGCTTTTGTCGACACTAAACTCAAATTAATCCAAGCGGGTTGACACGGAAATGTCATCTAAAAATGCGTGTCTTTATATCGATATTATATTTGCATCAAAATTAACGCTGACTAGATTTGTATATTGATGCGAATAAAACTTCTTTCATAATTTTTATTGTGATGTTTTCTGTGTTAATCAACATTTTATTACAGAATCCGAAAATTTGCGTCCAAGCAACTTGCAGCCATTTAATTTCTTCTTTTTGTTCATTAATACGGCATGGATCTAATGTAGCAAGGTGGATAACAAGCAAGTACTTAGTTGAGCGATACGCTGAATTTGTGGCTGGTGATTTAATTCCACTATAAATAATTATCATTTGTACTAAGGTGGCTTTTACTTGATGAAATTCCATTTAACACAATTAAATTAGAAGAAAAAATGTTCAAAATATGACAATATTCCGTTTAAGACCAAATTTAGACAGATATTTCGAAATTTTCTT